CCATGCTGATATACTGAAATCATAAAAGTTATCCAGAAAAAGCATTCAGAATCAGGCAGATGCAAAGTGTTTAGGAAGGCTGTTTCAAAATTTGCAGGAATTGAATCCCTTTGTTAGGCTTCAAAAATAACATGAGTCTCTAGCAAATTTACACCACTGGCTCGGAAGAAACAAATTACATTTTCTGATAAATGATAAGCTATCAGCTCGAAGGAATAAAAGTGCAAACATGTATATACAAGGTTTAGCACTTTCTTCTGGTTTCTTATCTCATGGCTTGATATTAACAGAGTGTTCCTCTGAGGTTAAGCCCATATCTAAAACTCTACCATAGGAACATTATTTCTTAGCTTTCGTTGTAAGTTCCCATGGAGGCCAAAAACCAACTGCAATGAAAAATAAAGTTTTCAGCAGAGCCTGAACCTGTGTTGACAGCCGTCTTTCCGGAAAAGCTGATTACTGGCATAGCTGTTCTCCTGTCTCTCCTGTTCAGAAGCAGCTGCAAATACATCAATATTACTGTGGAAATGCTACACACACAGAAAATCATATTTACTTGACTTATTTGCAGCATATACCGTTACTGTAAAGTTCAAGATCCCTTAGGCGAATTACTTTGTTCACTCTCCTTTAGACAATGCAAATTCTTCCTTAATAAAATGCTTTGTGTTAATTTTAGAACTACTCCACGATAAGGCTTTACCTGCACAGACAGATGGACAAAGAGCAGCACAGGTCCAGGGCAAGAACAGAGTCCTCTCGGGTAGTGCACCTGCTGACTTGATGATGAATCCCAAACTGGCTGTTCAGTCTGTGTTCACTTCTCTTGACTCTATTACTGCAAGCAAACCAAGCTTGGAAGACCACACAGTGTGGCATCCCAACCAGCGTGGCTAGTCACAGCTCTTGATGTGCTCCTTCAGCTGGATCAAATTTTGGATTTTAATAAAAACTTTCTTACAATGAGTATGATTCATATTAAATGACTGGCTGTTAACAGGGTTTGCGCAGCTCTGAAGGTAGTTTTGGATCTTTGTTCTGTAATATCGAATATGGCCTGTAATGTTACAGCAAACAAATTAAGGGGTGAACTAGGAACCATTGAATCAGGTTTAAGATCTATCATACACCAGTTAAATGCCGTATCACAAGGCTTGCTGGGAATGGAGAAAGCCTTAGGAGGTATTCAAGAAGAACAGACCCATCCTGAAAAATGCAGACATCAGAGGGTAAGCTGAGCTATGGAAATCCCGGAGAGAACTGAAGACTGATTTGCTGCTACCTGAGTTACTTAAGAGAAGATACAATGCAGATGACTAGTAATGGTAACCTGAAGCCCAAAGTCCTGGTGTTGGGTATTGGAAGATCTTCTTAGGATGATGCCGAGTAAAGATTCTCCCATGGGAATTGTTCTTCCACCGACTCTATCTTCTGTGCATGTAAGTAAGAAGCAACAGCAGCTAAGGATATGGTTCTTTGTTACTCATGGTTAGATACAGCTTTTCAGGATTGAAGTGGCAATTTTTCCCTTTGTACTAGGCTACCATTTTCCCAAACAGGCCTTCTTTCTGTGCTCCTGGGGACAGCTTCTGAAACTGAAGGTTGCATCCAGCTTTTTGAAAGTCCTCAATTAAAACAAAAAAAAAATCTGCCAGAAATACCCGTGCTGCTACAGCAAGAGTCAATGTTTAAAGGAGAGGAGGGAAATGCCACCATTTTAAAAACTTGAAGGAAAGAAATAAATCTGTTTCTTCTGGCGTGCTGGAATTCAGTGTTACTTACCAGCTAGTGGACTCATGGTTTTTTTCCCTGTCTTCACAGTGACCTTGGCTTTGGTTATTCCTTGTGCATTCATAACTAATATTATGCCAACAGTCCACCACTATGGTTCCAACAACAGTACTTAATGTACTGCCTGAAAACCTGGTTTCCTGCAGATGTGAAGTTGCCTAATATTGGGGTGAGGGGCAATTACATAAAATTTTAACTATGGCAGCTGAAATGCATGAGAAACAAATGTATTTATTTGTTCAATTCAGTGTTATCATTGCACAGTGACAGCTGCATGGTCTGTGAAATTTATCCTGTTTCAGTTAAAGGAACTGAGACTCTTCCCTTTGACTTTGCGCGAGAGCAGATGGGGCCCTGAATTTGAAACCGTGAATCAGTTCTGAAAAGATGCTGTAAGGTTTGTGTTTGAATGAGCGTATATACGCTGCAAAGGCTGCTGAGTTCCCATGAGGCAATGAAATTGTGCAGAATGTGGACCATGCAAAAAAGCTTATATTTTATTAATGAGTCTATTAGTTCCAATGTAGCTTATTTTTGTAGCAAGCAAATAATTTTAACTTGAATTTTCTTGTTTCAGGACCAGAGCAATGGAATGCCTCTGTTGTTCCAAAATGTGCATTTGATAAGGATTGTGTGGCTCACAGAAAACACAGCCTACTGGGAATGCAAAAATCCACATTTTGTCTTTTTCAACCATGGGTGCTTGCTTTTATATGTGGCACAAGAAGCCAGAAACTGCAACGATGATAATTTTTTTCTTCTGGTGCTTTTTCCACTAAAGCATCATTAACTTTTTACAAATATATGGCTCATAATTCCAGTCCTATGACGGAACGCCGTATTTCCTGTTTAACTCAATTAGTATATTTATCCTTTCTAACTCTTGCTGGCACCTGAGTAGAAATATGATGACTCTGAGCATACCTGGCAGAGTAGAATCATCTGCTACTGCCAGGCAGGACTGCTACATGAAAAGTCCCAGCAGAGAGAAGATAACTACTAACTGTACTCCTCCACCCAAGAGATCCTGGGTGTAACACCAGTTGTGTTATGGTTCAGAAAAAGCTAAGAAAAGGAAAGAAATTTTCTTTTTCTTGACAATTTTTTTATTCTTATCTGCATTCTCTTTTTCTTGTGAAGTATGCCTTGTAAATAGTGGGTATAAATTAATCTCTTGTTCAAGTGCATTCTTGCTGAAAGGGGCCCACTGATCTTTTAGTTCTGCACCAAAAATCCTGCACTGACACGTACTGGAGATTTGCAGTGCTGAGTCTCTTGAGCATAAAGCCAGCAGACATCACCTCACCCTCAAAACCAAGATAAGGCAAAGGCAACATGAGTGGGTTGGAAAATAGCTAGGGAAGGAGGTTTAGAAGGACATGGAGAGTGAGGGACATGATTAGAGGGAAGCTCCCTTATTCCCAATTTATCAGTCTCATAAGAACCTGTTACAGCAACGGTGCTAATATTGCCTTTTTAAAATATGCAAGAAAATGGTAAGTAAGATTTATACTGACAGCATCATCAGATGCTAACCAGGTTAAATGAGCTCTGCAGGAGGAACTAGCGCACTTGTGCTTCAGAGAACATGAGGTTTAGAGAGCGCTGCTATGCCCAAAGCCACCGTGCAGAGCTCTGCAGAGTGGGTATTTTACATCAGTGAATGACGGTAATTTTGACAGTCAGGCTACCACTGATTAGTGTCAGGTTTTTATTGCCCGACAGGCAAGCAAACCCCAGGCACAACAGCACTGCTCTCCAGACTCTGAGGAACATCCCCTATTTAGCACTGGCATACTCAACTCCTTCTAACGTTGTCATCAGCCTACATCTGTCATCACTGTGTGTAAGCAGAGGGGACAAAGCCGGCGAGTGTTTTGCCACTCCGCATAGAATACTGTGGTTTTTATTTGCACCTTCTCATTTTAACCTCATTCAGGTTCCCAGACATTCATGTTTTTGCTTGCTTCCTTTATGAAACAGATGAAGTCTGGCAGTAACTGGCCACAGGCAGCCTTGCCCAGTCCCCAGAAGCTTTCTCTTACGTGTGGTTATGCTTCAAAGATGGGTTTTTTTTAGCTCTGAAGTGCCTTCCTAAATCAACTAACTGCTTTGGACTCCACGTCTAATCTGTGCATCATCTGTGCTAATAAAAAGGAGATCTTTGGACATCTCTCAAAGTGTTTAAAGACTACTGCACTATAGTTTACAAAGACCACAAACAACGAATAAGATCTATTATCTGAAATTAAAAAAGCATTTGTTTACTAAAACTCATTTTGCAGAAGATTTTTTAACATGCTGGGGTTTGTATTACTTGTGACCTAAAAGCACTACAGCTAGTACATCACTGCATTCTTCCTTGCTAGAACAGGGCCAAATTACAGGCTAATTTGGAGTTCCCAAACTTCGACTCTAACAGAAGAAAGGATGACTGGGAATTATCTTAATGCTCAGAAGGAGCAGTGAAAATTGTATCACAGTACCCTTTTCACTGGTAGGGAGCTTCCACCACTTTGTTTATATATATTTTCAATTATAGCACTGGCTATCTCCCTTCAGGTAGAATTCCCAAGGGAGACTGATGGCATCTGAAAGAAAAGAAATTAACCTAGAATTACAGGGTATAATGCTCATAATCCGTCTTTTGGCACGGAGTTGAGCCGGGAAGTTAAGGGTAAGCCTTTGACCAGATGTCAGCTGTTCTCCCACTAGATCCTTACAGTAAGCCTCCAGCTTAGAGATGGAAAAGTATCAAGATGCTGCTGTACCAGAGCCATCACTATTTCATCAGTCTGGTGGACAATACACAGCCTATACGGCTCTGAAGACTCCAAAGGAGGAAAAGGAGTTTATGAGGACAGAGGCAGGGATGTAATTCGGAAAATAAAAGGAAAACGTATACTGAGAAAGGAATGGATGCTATTTCGTTAGGACACAGAGCAGGGTGATGAAGCAAATACAAAACGAGGAAAAATCTTGCCTTCTTAAAGAACGAGCAAAGAGATTTTTTTTATTTTGCAATTTTTTGTATCTTTATTTAATTTCAAAGTCTCCATTACTGATTCTCTCTTCAAGACTTCATAAGCTGGATGAAAAGATACGCATTTTGGTTTTGTACTACAGTAATAAACTCCCATGACATGAAATCTCTTATTCACAATGGAGTTTTTCTCTCATCTTGTTTCCCAGGGCATCTTTGAGATGGTTATCAGTAAGTAACAGACAGTAACTGGTTAACAGTCTGTTACCTACTTTTCCTTTCATCAGTTGGTGAAAAATCTACACAAACTACATACGACAGTGCCAGCAGAAGAACATACCACTTGTTTCACTGAGACAGATGCACACTGCTAAATATAGATTTTACAGAACTGTTGGTTTCTAAGTTCATAGGACTCATTTGCACTGCTTCTCAGTGGCTCTTTCTCATCTCCCACATCATTGTCTTTCATCTGTGCAAAATAGGCAGGAGAAGCTTTGCATTCATAATGCCTGTCGAGAGATTTCAGGTGTATCAACATATGAAGAGCATAGGCAAGAACCAGCAGCAGAATCAGTGACATAACCAATCCCATAAGTATTGCTGGAGAGAAAAAAGATGCACAGTCTTTTGCATAGGCAAAACGTCCTTCTTCAATGTTAAAACCTTGAATCTACAAAGAGAACAAAAGGGTTTATATTAAATAAAGTACTTGCGTCTCAGCAACAAGCAACTTCATGAATTTGCTCCTGATGCCAGTAAGAATTTTTAATTTAATATCTGCTTACTGCAAAATTGTATCTATCAGTGCTGGCTGGGGTTAATGCTCAAGAGTTCATCCAGGTCAGTCTTCTAGAAACTGCCAGTTATTCTAATCCCCTTCACTCTGCTGCACAAAGGATTTGCAGTTGTGTTTTAAACAAAATCTTCTATGATGATCACTCTTGATAGCCCAGTAATATTTAATTGTAAGTGTGGTACCTTTCAAGTTAACGTGCATTTCCAGCATCATTTGTTGAGAATCGCCAGAGTCTCTGTTTCAAACTGCATAAACTTCAACATGACAAACAAGGAAATATTCTCAATTGCCTACCCTAATACTAGATTTTTCTCACCAGATCCAAGTGTGCAGTATATGGCAGCAAATCAGCTAAACTACATGAAGTTGCATTCAACTATGGCCAATATCAGTAAGTTTTACTTGTGGCTTCAGTTCTAACATGAAGTTTACTACGTTGGCATTCAGGGAATTGACTGTCTGCTTCACTAAATCGGTCCACGGGCATTTATCACATGGTGAGAAAAGGAAATCAGCTTTCCCCCTCAATTCCCTTTTTCAGCTATTCATGCCCTATGACTTAAGTATCTAAAAGCAAGACATCCTAGTCCAGTCATCTTAGGCTCCCTTATTGTCAAACACAGAAAAATAGGCACTTCAGAAGATGATTAATCTCATCCTAAAATAAGGACTTAAGATCAGTCAGAGGAATTATCCACTGGCTTTAGAGGCAGGCTGGGGTGACTATAATCAGGGCACAAGGTTAAAATTACTAGGCTTCAAAAGTTAAGTGAGATGAATCCCATACTTGGTGACTGATGCTGTTACAGATGCCGGGTTTAAGAGCCCAGCTCAGAGAGACATAACACTGAAAGTTCATTCACTCCCCACACTAAAGGAAAACCCAAGCAAGAGACTACAGAAAATCTATAAGCCCTTCATTTCCTTTGACAGGAAGATAAGTATAATAATTTAAGTCTTAATTTCTATTTCAAGTTCCATGGAGATCCTGTAAACTGTACATGGAAGGTCACTATACTTTCTTGGTAGTGAAGTGCAAAATTTCCCATCAGTCTACCCCTGGGATGCATTTGGCTTATTTCCATGACATTACCTGGAAATCAGTAAAAGTGACTTCCCAAAGCTTTGACAGATCATTTGCAGAGCTGGGTATGAGAAGTGCATCATATCTCTGCAAGCTGCTCACATGTTCACAGTGGTAGGAGTAACTTGCTGGTGCATATATTCTGGTTGCATTGAACGTCGCTTGTATGGAGTGGTTGTAAAGAAGTTCCAGTCTGTGTAAACTGAACCAGTTCTGAACAGACAGCTGGTAATAACTGGTTGTTAATAAGAATCTGAAAATATTGTATGGGAAGAAAGATGAATAAGAAAACAAGTCTAACTAAGAGTTGCAACTATTCAATTCACATGTTGAACAATCTTAGAAGACACACTGGTATTACCAGAGTTTCACCCATTTATATCAGCGTGAGCTCTAGCTCCTTCTATTGAGTCTGGAAAGTGATTTGCAGTTCTTCATTGTTGCAGCTGAAGGAGTTTGCTGCTCTCCCACACAGCAAGAGGAAATGTGAAGGGATTTTTTCTAAATGACTGAGAAAAATCTCTATGCAACATTGGTATTGTACTTCCATCCAAGATATTGAAAATTATTTACCAAGAAATGCTGTTTTCTTCTATCGCCAAGAAGCAAACATAAAGCAAGTCACAGTCTGATGTCTGAGCAGCCCACACTATCAGTTCTTGCAGCAAAATTCCCAGAATGTAGCTAATTAGCAAGGTTTAGCACAAATCTCAGACGAAGATTCTATTCAAAAGAGATGACCTGAAGTTTTGTCATGAATAGAAAAGTCAACACAGAAGAAGAAATGCCTTAATAAAACAAGGCAGGCAAATGACAGACCCATTAAATCCAGGTGTCTCAATTATACAATCAACAGTTTCTATCACATTATTTTTGCTTACACAAATTCTCCTAAAACAAATTCCACAAGCAACTGCATAACAATATATATTAACGTGATTATCTAATATTTTCTTTTTCATATAAACTTACCTAATAACAAGTCCCTTTAAATTGCCAATGTCACCAAACTTCAGAGAAAGCCTAGGCCAAAAAGCAAGTAGTATCAGGCTAGATAAAAACTTCAGAAAACTTAAGAGAAGAAAGCAGCACAAAAGATTAAGCACAGTTATACATGGAGCCTTTTGCTCAGTATATCTTTGAAGTCAGTGGGAAAAAAACCTGAAAGGATTAAACCTTCCTCCAGTGAAATCCAGTAGTTCACCTATTAATTTGAACAAGGCCTAGACCATCCAGAAAGAATAGAACTGTATGTTTAACTTTCAACACAATTCAATCCCACTGCTTCCAACATCGTTGACAATTAGTTAGGTTCATTTGATCTGTGTTCTCCTTCTCAGGCCATGTTATCTTAGTCATGAATCTCTGTATGTCATTAGAAAGTGTAAACTGCTGTGTTATTCTCATCTTTTTAAATACTAGAGCATAAAAAATGCAGATGACATTTGAGTTCAAATTTCACGCATGTGCACATTCGAGCAATACAAATACACTCACTGTGAGGTAGCTCTACAAAGCTCATCTGTGGTGAGCATGAGCACCTGAAGTTTACTAGAGTGAAAGGCCCTAGCAGGTTAATTGAAAACTAATGCATACTTTACCATCCTTCTACCATCTCTGGAATTAATGCATTGTAGCACTGCATGATTAAGTGGCATACATTTTGTTGGCTTAATAATAATATTTTGCCTGTTAAAACCTGCATAATAAAGTATAGAACATGCAAGAAAGCAAAACCATTGGGAAGGAGTAGCATTTTCCTCTCTCTCCACAGAAAAGAGGAGAAAAGGCTCAGTAGTCACAGCATGTCTCTTGACCCCAGCAAAAAATGCCAGCCTCAGCTTCAAACTAAGCATCAAGGTCCTGCTTGCCTTTAACAGCTGTGTCCCTAATTCGAGGCTACCCAGAAAACTATGGGAGAAACAAAGAGAAAGTTCAGAAGACGTGGCAGATGAGATGGCTCTGGACCCACAGATTTTGACATCAAACCTCAGATATGGTGAAACACCAATAAAATGCACGTCAAGGGTATGCTGTAGAGTTGTTCTGCTTCCTGACTCTTCCTGCAGCTTTTTTAATGAACAATGTGTTTTATAAATTCCCAAATACCTTCCAGTATAATGCAACAAGCAGAATATACAGCCCTGTGGCAGGTTGACCCCAGCCAGCAGCTAAGACCCATGCAGCCACTCACTCACTCCCCACCCCACAGCAGGACAGAGGAGAGAATAGGAAAAGCAAAAGAGAGAGAACTCATGGATCAAGACAGAGTTTAATAAGTGAAGGAAAGAGGGGAAAAAAAACACTGAAGTGTTGCGAGGGCAATCACTGATCATCACTCACGAGCAGACCAATGCCCAGCAAATCTCTGAGAACGGCCACCCTGGAAGACACAACCCCTACCCACTTCTTCTTCCTCTACCCCCATTTTTATTGCTGAGCGTGACGTTATATGGCAGGGAGTATAACTTTGGCCAACTTGGGTCAGCTGTCCAGGGATTGTCCGCTCCCAGCCTCTTGCCAACCTCAACCTACTTGCTGAGGGGGCAGAGTGACAGAGAAAGCCTGGACCCCATGCAAGCACTGCTCAGCAAGAGCCCAAACACTGGTGTGTTATCAACACTGTTTTAGCCACAAACCCAAAACACAAGAGAACTATCTCCCTCCCAGCCAGAGCCAGGGCAAGTCCTAATTTCTTAGAACTCTGTATTTACAGAATGAAGCATCCACTACTGTAACCAGACTACAGAGGTACCTGTGGTGGATAGATAGGTAGAGTAGCCTGCTCAAAACTGCCAGTCTCCAAACAGCAGCTCTAGTAGGAGTTTGCAGTCCACCACTGCACTGTCTTTCTGATTTTTCAAGCCTTATGAACAACTATAAAACTATACTTTCTGTTTTGAAATCCTTACTTTTGCATGAGTATATTTTCTATTAGGTTACAATCTACAATAAGACTAAGATTATTTCTGAATTGCAGACCAGAAGAGAAGAAGGAATGTTTGTTAAGTTATTACTTTTTATTTTTAAAATAATATTACTCCATTCTGTACCTCTGCCTGTCAAAACATAGTGCTGGATTAGTTCCCATGCTGATGACGTAAAATTTAGACTGCCTTGTTGAATACTATGATACCACAGGCAGAAAACCTGGCTTCTTTTTCAATTATACTTCTAGTTTTCTTGTAACCTCACTAAAATTTCTGTGCACCTTGGGTTAACCTTCACAGATGTAAAATCAGAAAGAGGTAACACCTACTTTCTGTGGAAATGTCTTTAGATGTACAGGTGAAATGTTGTATAGGAGCTAAATAAAACTGCTGGTTTTGGTCATGTTATTTTTATTGTTGTGTGTCGTTACAGATTTAAACACCATTTCTGGGGAAGACGCAATGCTCATGTTCAGCACATGCCCAGTTAGGTATCCACCTTCAAATTTTTAGGCTCTTGCCTACCAGAGTGGAACGAATGACCTGATATTAGACACGAAGCCAGCCAGCACACTACAAGGAGGGAGAGAAGTGGTCAGGTACACAACAAAGGAAACAAAAAAAAAATTACATGCCTTTCTAGTATAGCCATGGGACTGGAGGATTTTGGATCCAGTAAGGTTAACAGATAGCTCTCACTCAGGTTTAGCAGGAGCAAAGCACTGAAAATGCTGAAGAAGTTCATGACAGACTGGGATGTAGAGTTCAGGTTTTCGGGGACTCTTCAGGTCACATGCAAACCTGTAGTGAATTCATTCTTCGGCTTCAGCAACTCACAGATCACATCCTGGAACTTGGGGCTACCTAGCTCTGTTTCTAAATACACATCTGCATCTTGTACCAATGGTTTACACTATTGCTGGCACACATTCTATGAAGGGATAAGTAGTCATGCATAGCCAGCCCCTAAGCTCCCATTTTCAGCAGAGGATCCACTATTCAATCTCCCAAGCAGCTATGTAAAACAGCTGGAGACTAAAGAGGTCAACAGGAACTAACAGGAAAACTGGCTGGCCAGAAGGATTGACTACACCATTGCAAGAAATGAAGACAGCTATGTACATCTGTGTGTCTGTGCTGGTTTTGGCTGGGATAGAGTTAATCTTCTTTATAGTAGCTAGTATGGGGCTGTGTTTCGGATTTGTGCTGAAAACAGTGTTAATAATACAGGGATTGTTTTAGTCACCGCTGAGCAGTGCTCACACAGAGTTAAGGCCTTTTCTGCTTCTCACACCACCCCACCAGCGAGCAGGCTGGGGGCGCACAAGGAGTTGGGAGGGGACACAGCTGGGACAGCTGACCCCAACTGACCAAAGGGATATTCCATACCATATGACGTCATGCTCAGCATATAAAGCTGGGGGAAGAAGAAGGAAAGGGGGGACGTTCGGAGTGATGGTGTTTGTCTTCCCGAGTAACCGTTACGCGTGATGGAGCCCTGCTTTCCTGGAGATGGCTGAACACCTCCTGCCAATGGGAAGGAGTGAATGAATTCCTTGTTTTGCTTTGCTTGCATGTGCAGCTTTTGCTTTCCCTATTAAACTGTCTTTATCTCAACCCACAAGTTTTCTCACTTTCACCCTTCTGATTCTCTCCTGCATCCCACTGCAAAGGAGTGAGCAAGTGGCTGCATGGTGCTTAGATGCCGGCTGGAGTTAAACCACAACAGTGCCCCATGAAAGACTGGTCTGAAAGTATATAATTCATGCTGCCCTGCTGCCTGCAACATCACGACATTATAGGAAGAAGCTTGCCCCTGGGGCTCTACACCACGTAATACAAGGTCTGTTTCCTTCAGTATGTATTTACTAGACTTGTTATCTGGTACTAGTTCCATTGGCAGAGTAGAATGCCACCTTACATTGCATTGTCTTCACTGCAGTTTGAATCTCCAACATCCACTGTTGCATGGACACCAAATGTCTTCTCCGTCAAATCCAGCTGCGTGTGATTTTCAAACTTAATCATGATCCTCTTGGCCCAGAAGAGAATGCAGGGGATGCCATTAACTGTGACGTTGAGAGGACTGTAGTGGCTGTGGGTGAACGGCCTCCAGGATGCTCTTTCCCACTGTCCTCTCCTGCTCAAGTTGTAGCTGACAACCTGATAGACCACATAAAAGATCAGTATCAGCAGATGTGTATTTCAGGAGTTACTCTCCATCCTACCAGAATAAATGAGGCCAGCACTTGGAGAGCATCTGTGGAGCCAGTTCTCAGCCACAGCAATACTGAGCTGAGGAAGCAGAGAAATCTCTGGCTAAGCCATTCTCACCATGCAAATGGTACCACACAGTCCTCTAGCTCCAGTACACCTGGCCAGAGAGTCAATATAAGTTATATTTATTCTGCCTGGGTAGCATTACTGGGGCAAACCACATTCTTAGCATGCTCCTCTCTCACCGTAGAGCTGCCCAACATAAAAAATTGAAGCAAAGCTAGAATCACAAGGTGCTCACCCCAGCAGAATTCTCTCTAGGACACCTGTAAGAATTACTTCAACACACTAAAGAGAACTCAGCTTGGGCCAAGGTCACAGCCTACTACGCTAAAAGCACACTAGGCGGATCTCCTAGGTGAAAGAAATGTCCAAGTCTACATCTACCTGCAGACAGTTTGGCTCCTGACAGCTTTAAAATGGGGAAAATGCCTCCTGCAGAAGAGGATGGCTCAAGCGTGGATCCCTGCCTTTACAAAATCAGTTGTTCGCAAGATTAAAACCTGGGGACTGCAGCTTCCATGTCCTCTGTAGACACTAGAAAAATGCTATCCCTTCTAAGCCAAACTTCATAGCAAAAGGAGGACAATTTGGCTGTCAGGCAATATAATTTGAGACAGTGAGTTAGGGCTCAGAAAGGACTTCAAAATTTAACTGTCATTTCCATATCTCAAACTAAAATTTCCAGACACCAACTCTTTTCCATCTACACATATGTCCTATCTGAATATGATAACGTACACAATGTCTGCATGGCTGTTTTGCATGTCATATGATTAAGCAAGTTCAAATCATATACAAACATGAGCGGTATTCTGAGTCCCAGTCATAAACAGCATCTTACCAGGCTCCAGAAGGGATGAGGTTAAGCCCCAAAGCTTTGTCTTAGCTTAAAGAGAGATTTTTTTTTTCTCTTCAGATTAGCGAATCGCGTCTCCCAGCTCAGACACTGAAAGACCCTTTTGATAGTTGACCTTACATATGGCACAAGACTGCTTTAGGATTAAAATTAGTAAGTACTGACAGCAACAAGCTGAAAGCCAGGTAAGATCATGGTCAGAAAACGTGATGCAACAGTCACTGACTATGACTGTCATTTGTATAAATGATAAGGCTGTCTTCTCAGAAGTACAGATGAGAGAGATTTAATCAAAAGATTATTTACATTAGATTGCATCATTTGCAGGGTTTTTGATAAGGAAGCCTTTTATGCTCAGTTTTTGACAAGACCTACAGGCTGGATTCGGAAAAAACTCCCACTAAATTTAGACAATCAGCAGTTTTGCTTCAGCTATTTTTTTAGTATCAAGTGATAAAAGCAAAATACTAGCCGCAGAAGTCAAACGGCATTGTACAGAATATGGATGACAGGATTTGATTCTTTCAGTAAGACCCTTTGCCCAAACCCACTGCCAGTCAGCACCAGCGACAGCAACTGAAGTCTCACCTCACTTCTCAGAAAAGCAGAAGATATCTTGTACAGCAGGTAGTGAATTAGTACCACATCACAATGATTTAGACAGTTTTGTTGGCTATTTCTTGTAAACAATATATTTGTTGGCTATTTCTTGTAAACAATATATTATTTAATTCAATAATGCAGATTAAAGGATCTCAATGTGCTATGAAAAAACTTCACAGATCCAGTTCCTTAAAACATTACCTGTGTAATTGCTACTTGATTTATGTTAAATTTTGGCTTCACAACATCATAATGTTGACCTGCAGAAGAAAGTGTGTTATTACACACAAAGAAAACATCCATTCATTTATAAAAGCATAATCTTGCACGTTTTTGTGCAAACAATAATTATCCCTGCAAGAAATGTGTATTTCAGAATACCTGATTTTGTCTTGGAAAATATTTGGCTTGGTGCAAATACTGCCTTCAATACATCCATTTTCTAGTTTACTTTACCTTACTTGTACAACACAGTTCCTCCTATTTTCATTGAACATCTTGCCACCCTTACTGGGAAGAACTTGGGTGCCCAAAAATGACAGGATTCAGCCTATACATGTATTTAATCATCCCAAACACACTTAACAAAAGCTTCTTCTTTCTTCATAAAACAAACTCTATTGACAAAGGGTGTGTGTTGAATTGCACAGCAAAAGCATCTAACTATGGGTGGGAATTTCTTTCCCTGCACTGGCCAGAGATGTGAAGCTGTGACAAACAACCTGACAGCCTGACTGCTCACCAGGAGACTGAAATTTCACAGATGACAGATCATTTCACAGACACTCTCACAGCTCCATCTTTCAAACATCTAACTCTGTTTTCATTTGGTTAAAAAAAAAAGAAATGAGTGAACACTTCTTTCTTCCACATTCTCACTGTATCTCAGAGTCAGTCAGTAAATTATTATTTTAACCGGGCAAATCCTTTATAGGGCATTTTTTAGAGGGATATGCTTTAACAACATGATTGACAGAAGAGTCACTAATGCCAACAGAAGCAACATCTGGGAATGAAGATCTTTTACAGCCGCACTAACAGAGCCAGTATCCAGGCATTCAGCCCACTGGAAAAAAAAAAGCCTTACCGTTTCTTTGCAGAGAATCTTGAACTGAAAACGCACTGGAAGAGAGGAGAAAAATATTTACTGTACAGCATCTGGATTTAAACTGCAGCAAGTTTACTGGGGAGAGCTCCTGTTCTTGCTTCATCCAATAAAACACTCAAAACAAACTCAGATCTTTAGCTGGTTAATGTCACAGGAACAGAGCAAATTAATCCTAAAGCCAGTGTACTCAGGCTAAAAATGCCTCTTTTTCAGAGATCCCTCAGGTGGATCAGCCCAGCCAGGCACGCCCATATCCTTACCATACTGACTAAAGGCTTCATTACCCCTCTTGACCCTTTCCATAGGACACCAGTTTTGGATTAGAGACTGAACCCATCCCAGCCCACAAGCAGGGAAACACACAGATAACGCTGCACCATCCTCAGCCCCCTGTGAGGATCAGAAGCAACATGCTGAATTCCTCCACCACAGAGCAAATGCACTGGGCTAGTATGCCTTAAGCCCAGATTTACAGCCATCTAAAGACGGCTCCTGAACAGTTCCAAGCAATCCTAAATCCCATGGAAGTCAGCTGCAAATTTGGGAGCGAGTGAAGCACATCTCAAGTGACAACTACGAGGCTATTCAGTCTTTGATTTTCTTCTTTGGTATAATTTAGGGATAAGTCTTCAGCTGGTGCAAGTATGATCTGCTTTCCTGAACTGGAGAATCCAGCCCAGTGGATTCACGTTCATCATCAAAAGACTACAAGATCAAAAGAAGTCCAAGAAACGAGGACTTTAGGGCTTTAGACCAGACTCCACTCCTTCAGTCACAGGAACACCTTCCTGCCTCCTCCACACCATGGCAGCTTCCTTAGGACCTGCAGCCCCCTACACTGAATTGATCTACTGATCCGATGACATGTGCCCACTTCTGACGTTTGCTGTCAGCGTTCCCCAGCAGGTGAACACACCGGCCCTCCCACACTCACACCTGTACACCCTGCACACCCTGCCCTACTTCTGCCCGCAGAAGTGCCTTCCAGGCTGTAAGCTATGGTGGGGTAGGAGCTGCCTCACAGCCACTTCATGTGGAAATACACTTCCGTCTTCTTTTCTTGCCTTGTTTCCTACCTGCTTTCCAACCCACCACAAAAGCAAAATACTTGAAAAGATGTATGCAAAGACCAGCACATAAGGTCTAGGAATAAAAGCCGTTTTCAGCATGGAACAAAAGCCGTTTTCAGCATTTATGTGTAAATTGTACCATAAGGATCAAGCCTTGGCCTGGCTGGGGAGCCCTCAAACAGCTGGGTGAACCCACTGGACTCCCTGGGTAGGGAGATCTGCATTACCCACTAGCATGTACTGCAGGAGTGATCCCAGCCTAATTTCCATCGTGGCATGCTTAATGGCAGATAAATATGAGTTTGAACAACGTAACGCCAACAAAGAAGAAACGTGGGATGGCTTAGAGCCTGCCCTGCTTGTTGCCATGCTCACGCGGCTCTGGCAGTCAGGGAGTTAGATCACACTGAACCTGGCTCCCCTGAAACCCATGGCAATGTTACCAGCTTCAGTAAAGCCCAGATTTCACAGGCAATGTCTGGTTTACACTGGAGGTTCAGGAGGGCAGCAGGCTCTTTCTTCTGATCAGTGTCTCTCACGCAAGAATGTCCTTTCGCAGGCATACTCGCTGCTGCCACAAATAGATCTCGTGTCCCCTTGCAACCTCCTCAAACCCAGAAGGCAAAACAGACAAAAGTGAAGCAGAGTCTGTATTCCAGCTTGTCACTCTGCCGCCAAACACCTGGTCTGATGAGCAGTTTTGCTCCAGACCATCGGGAAGGCTGCTCAGTCCCTTCAGCAGCTGGGGCAATAAAGCAGAATACAGTCTCCAGAGAAAACATAACACAGCACAAAAAGACAGCTAGGCTCTGCAGTACCGCAGCAGTGACTGTGATCCGAGCTGAAAGAACCTTAAAAAGATCTTATCTTCAAAAAAGTTCAACGTAGGTAACACTGTTTAAAATTAATCTGGCAGTTTTAATTACATATAGTGAGACCAACTGCCTCCTCAGTCAGAGCTGTTAAATCCCAGACTTCAAGGAGGCTGTGCACTTCCAGAGTGGGTCCCGCTCTCCCCCACCATACTTTCGGAGCCAGGGTTAGTGCTGAGCTGAGGTCTCTAAAGCCACTCGAAGGTCTCATCCCAGTAGTGAGCAGCCTTCAGAGATGGGTGGAAATAATCCTCATTTTGACAGACAGGTAACAAAAGACATGGTAAAATGGACTGAACATTGTTTTCTTGCTCAGGTAAAACTCTCTCTTAGGTCGTTTTAAATTAGGAACATGGGTTTTGTGATTTGATGCAGCTTTATTTTTCTTTTCTAGTCTTCCTTCATGACAGATTGTGCCTTCAGGCTGGAAAAGGCCATTTTGGGACATTTTTTCATAAAAATAGCCACAAAAATGAGGCACACCAAAAGGAAATTAATGTAAATTATTTAGTTATACTAACTTTAGTTATCTTTAGTTGTAACTATATATATTTAGTTATGCTTAGTTGTACTTTTAGCTCCTCCCATACACATAATTAAAAGCTCATAGCCCATTACTCCAGTTTGGAAATCACCATGCAGACTAAAACATTGGGATGAGAGGAGGCTGGTGTAAAATTGCGTAATTCATTTCATCCCCTGACTGGTCTTTAAAGGTTTTTACGTTGTTCTGGGAAGAGGAAGGGTTATTTTTGTTTTCACGATTGTCATTTTAAAAAAAAAATCATTACTTAGCTTCCCATCTGGGATAAGGCTAATACCATAGTCATGCCAATTAAATCATCTTGAGGAATGTTAATTCAGAGCCTTGAAGAGAGCATACAATGAATATATGAGGCATACTCATTGCGAACGCCCCTGTGGGGTTACCTCCTGAGCAGAACAGTTATAACCAGCCTCCACGCAGCCCACGTGCACAGGCTGGGCGCTCGTGACAATGCAGTTTGACTCCTGTACATCACATGTAAAACAACAGCCATGCGCAGCCACGCTGCTCCAGAAGAAATGTCAAGTTTCTGCTCTCAGCATGAAGATACTCAAATATAGATGAATGTGCCCAGCTAATGAAATATTCATGCTTTCATGAGGAATGCAGCAGAGAGAGTGACCCGGGAAACACCGCTAAGTACCACAGTATGATAAACACGATCAGCCACATGGCAGGCACATTTGGGAGGCAGGCGGAGGCATGCAAGTCAAGTATCTCCATCTAGGTACTCCTGTTCGTTACCCTGTTTACTAGCAATGCTGGTGCCTCCTTTCCTCCTGCACAATGCATGCAGCCCCGTTAGAAAAAGGCAAGGGCAATCCATCATGGCAAGGTTTGCAGTATCTTTGCTTTGTCCTACTAAAGCCAGATCACTATGGCACAGTCTATTCAGTGGCGCAAGGGAGGATCGCCTCCCGGTTTCTGAGCAAGAACAAGTTGAAGCTGATGTTACCGGGTCTGTCAGCTGCCTTTGACCCTCAATAACCCTGAGATGGCACAGAAGTGTGTGATCTGTGACAGGAACGGCTGGCCTTCAATAGCCGTCCTGCTGTCAAATCAGCAGCCTTTCCAATCAAAAGGCAAGCTGCAGAATTCACAGGTAACCTCTGGCAGCAAGGCCCTTTTGTTCTCAGCTGGAGCATGTTTCATAGAACAAAAGCATTTTAAGAAGAAATGGGAAAATAACAACACATTAAAAATATGTATTCCCTTTTTTACATAAAAATATTAAGTACATGTATAAGAGACAGAAAACTAGCTAGCACTACAGCTGCCTTCTCCACTGCCTGCAAAACTATCAGCAAACAGTGCCTAAACCTGAAATCTGTGACAGCAAATCATTTTTAGCACACTGAATTAGAGACTAAACTTTTCAATTTATCATTTTTTTCAGCTACTCTGCCCTAAAACTTCAAATTCAGTTGCACACATAGTATATGTTTTGATGACTAATATTGTTCCTTACCAATTCGTAAATAACTAGCCCAGATACACCCAGACATGTATGTTGTATGTTGAATTTACCATACCAAGTATGTCAGGAACCCACATGAAATTGGATTAGCCCTAATACAAAGCACTGGGATTGCTAATCTTTATGTAAAACCCAATTAAATAAGATTGTAAGTATAAAGAAGTGTAAATTCCCTCTTATCAGATG